GTAATAGTGTAGGAGCAAAGATGAATGTAGGTCAACATTAGTCATACACAGCCAGTGACCAATTTTTGCCCAAGTTCATCAAACTGGTGGGACCTGGCTTTAGCATCTTAACWGTTAATTTTTAATTACATTTAGATTTACTTATAAATAATGCYGATTTGTGTATATTTAAATATAGATATAAGACAAATGCTAAGAACTGAATTGAGCTTACAGTCGTCAGAATTTGACATCTATGATGTTGGTGAAGGCTGTTGTATAACATTTTCTCTTAAAGAAATACGACCTCTACTGGCCTTTGCAGAGCACATGACATTACCAGTTATTATTCGTTTTAGTTCTCCTGGAATGTAAGTTTAATGRTCACTATGAGTGTTTTATTTTAATAGTTATATTACAAAATTCTTTTAATCTTGTTTTATTAGGCCTATGGTATTTGGACTTAAAAATGGCTTGACATTTGAAAGCCAGTATATATTATCAACAATGAATGATAATGCGATCTCAGGAGATGCAAATTCCATACGTTTAAATATTAATGCCATTGACAACACTCAAAGTAGTAATGAACATCCAGAAAATCTATTGCCCAATATAAATCGAACTCAAACAACGAGTTCTAGCTTAAGAACTCCAATGCGAGTACAAGTTGAGTATCCAGATAGTATTTCAAGAAAACGCAAACACCCGTCAACTAGTCAACAACCCCCAAAAATAGCTAATTCAGTCAGTTCTATTTCAATAATTGAGCAGTTCAGAGAAGAATGTTTAGAAGAAGATGTCTTATTATCTCAGGTTGCTGACTACCATATCAATGATGAACAAACCAAAACATATATAAACAAGAATAGTAATTTCACACAAGAATTTTCTGATACTGCACTTGTATTTGCTAGATGTCATTCGTTGCCTATAAGAAATTCCCCTACTAAAGGAAAGGGAAAAGTACTGGTGTATGATTCAGATGGACTTATAGAYGACTCTGATTGATTATTGATTTAATTGGTGTACACATTAATTGATCGGAAACAAACTGAAATTTATTAATTTATTCGTTGTCTGCTAAGTGTTAAAAATTGTGTTAAAATAAACTATATAAAATATAATTTCATCAT